TCTTATTTCACCCCCTCTCTTTTAATGAACAAAAATTCTAGGCCCGTGCCTACTAATGTTCTCTTTGAGCTGGAGAAAATACATTGACCTTCATTTTAAAACCTTGTATTATTTTTTTTAGCTTTATTAGTTCAGTAAATATTTCGTTAAAGATATAAAATCTGTAAATTAACTTGCAAACCGTGCCCCTTCCTCGGTGAATCTGTCGACATAAAACACTATAAATTTTTTTTTTGCTTGTCAATGAATTTTTGGTAGTTGATGGTGACCCAACTAAAATATATTGCTTTGCCCCCTCCCCCCAACCCCCCCCCCCCCCCCCCCCCGCGAACGAATTGCTTCCTGTGGACCATTCTCGCAATGCCAAGGGATCTGAGTCAACACCTTGTCCAACGGCAACATGTTGACTCAGGACTCCTAGCATTAGGGGGATGCCTATGGACCTGTTTTGTTTATCCGCAAAAAATAACCTTTCTCATAACTTTTGATTGGTGGAGATATGGCTTTCATATTTTAAATACATATTCCTTGTAAAAGGACCTTTCTTCAGATAACAGCATAATGACCTTTTGACTTGGGCCTTTTTGTGTCAAGACCTTTCTTTGAGTTTTTGACATTGACCTTGGAGTTTTACCTTCTTTTTTAAGGTTCCTCAATGTTACATAATTTTTTCCAAGATTTTTGTCATTGAAGAATTACTACTTTAACATGATTACTCACAAAAAATCAAGGTACCTTACCAGGCATTTGTGTGAGATACCAGAGGTTGGCATAATCCTTTAGGAAAAAATAGTTAGTTTGCCAAAATTACATTTTTAGTGTTTCAAATTTTTAAGAACAATTAGAAACCGGTTTAGAAAACAGAAAGTAATAAAGATTTTGTATATTTATCATACATTATGAAGATTTACAAAACAGATATTTGGGGAGCGTTTCGTCTGACCTTAAAACCTTTACCTTCGCCATGACATTTGAACAGTTGTTGCTAGAGCTTTAATTAAACATCACATGTAAGATGTATATTTCTTATGACAAGATCTTCTCCTTGGTACCTTTAATTCTATACCATTAGACTTACAGTTTGATCCACATTAAAAAAATCCCTACAGGCCATTACTTTTTTATGCTCCCGGATCTAAAGATCCTGTTTTTGTCCTGTCTGTCTGTCTGTCTTGTCATTTTTAACCTAGCATATAACTATTGCATTGTCGAGGCTTTAATATTTGACATGATTGTTCATGATGACAAGACCTTTCTATTGGTACAGAATTTTTTTTTATCACGTGACCTTGCTACCCTTAAAACATCTTACAAGTGTATACCACTTCAGTCTACGTCCCATCGTGTTACCATCGGAGGCATAATGTTCATGCGCAGATCTAGAGAGAGTCGGGGGTTCGCCTCCTCCCCTTTGGAATTTGCAGTGTTATAAAATGTATATACAAAATCGAGTAAAAGTGACCTTGGACCCCCCCCCCCCCCCCAGAAAACGCGGACTACTCCTCGAAAATTGTTTTGAACATATTCTATTGCATAACTTATACAAAGGTATTCTCGAAAATGCAGATCTATGTGAAATTGGTGTGAAAAGTCATAGGTCCGAAGTTTGAAAGTCAACGACTAACCCCCCCCCCCCCCCCCACCACCATCACGAAAAAGTTTTCAACGTTTGGGAAAGGAATTTAGGTTTTTTTTTTGCATGTCAAGACATTTCTGGGTTGCAAATTTTTTTTGACTGGGGTTAAAAATTTTTTTTGACCTGGAATATTATTGTATATATGCGAACTCCGAACCGTGGCTTGAGACGATGAATATGATCAAGATTGCGTATCAAAATAAACCCCGCACGCAGGTGATTAAGGTATATTGCTGCATTAGAAAAGGAATTTCACGATTGAGACGTTAAAATCATTACGTTATCTAGGTGGTTACATGTATATAACATTTAGCGTCTCTTTCAAGTAAAATAGTTATATCTTAATCTGAAACAGTTGTGTCAAACTCTGTGGTTATCTTTTATTTGAAGCTCACCGGGATATTCCATATCGACAAAAATCGAATGGAAATAGCCATTGTGAATATTGACAATACATCGTCAATATATCTAAATGTCGAGTTGAAGGCCACAACAATTTTTTTTTTCACGTATAAGACAAATTCTGCTTTGTATGAGTGCAAAAATAGGTCTGCTAAAAACGGGGTACAATTGGTACCCATGGGAATTCAAATAGATTGTTGGAAGACCCTTCAAAAACGACATAGATATTCTCAATCAGAAACGCCAGCATCTTTTTAATATCAACTTCAGAGTACTTGTGTGTACAATCAGAATGTTTTGTATACATGTAGTGAATACGTAAAATCGAATACAGTATGTTACCGGTCCCTGTGGTTAGAAACGTTTGAGAACGTTTTCTTTCTTTATTATTTTTTGACTTGTCAGGAAATTCTAGGTTGATATTTACAGGGTTCGATCCCCCTGGTAAAAATTCCTGAATCCGCGCCTGTGTTATGTGAAGACTCGATTTTCTTTCATTATTATTACTGATTTCATTTTATAAATGACTTCTTTTAATTTATAGGCACTTGAGTACGGAAGCGTATTAGTGCCACTTGGACACTTTACTTTTTTTTAATTTCTACACTTTAAAGTGTAAATTTTACACCTTAATCTGTAAATTTTACACTTTAAAGTGTAAATTTTACACATTAATCTGTAAATTTTACACTTTAATCTGTAAAATTTACACTTTAATCTGTAAATTTTACACTTTAATCTGTAAAATTTACACTTTAATCTGTAAATTTTACACATTAATCTGTAAATTTTACACTTTTATCTGTAAATTTTACACTTTTAAGTGTAAAATTTACGCTTTAATCTGTAAAATTTACACTTTAATCTGTAAATTTTACACTTTAATCTGTAAAATTTACACTTTAATCTGTAAATTTTACACATTAATCACATTAATCTGTAAATTTTACACTTTAAAGTGTAAAATTTACACTTTAAAGTGTAAAATTTACACTTTAATCTGTAAAATTTACACTTTAATCTGTAAATTTTACATTTTAATCTGTAAAATTTACACTTTAATCTGTAAATTTTACACTTTAATCTGTAAAATTTACACTTTAAAGTGTAAAATTAACACTTCAATCTGTAAATTTTACACTTTAATCTGTAAATTTTACACATTAATCTGTAAATTTTACACTTTAATCTGTAAATTTTACACTTTAAAGTGTAAATTTTACACTTTAATCTGTAAAATTTACACTTTATTTTGAACAACCTGAACTGCAATAGGTTATGATTGAACGGTCGATTTGTGATGTTTTACCTCTGACACTTCAGAAAAAGTATTAAACTGAGATGTTTACAATTATTTGTATATTTTTATATTACATGTACTCGTACTTGTTAATTAGTATATGAAAAACAAAGATGGACTATTTCCTCATGGGTCTTGTAATTTTCCCCAGCATAAGAAATCAGGGATCAGTATATAAACATGTGTCTCTTTAGTTTTACTAAAGTTTAACGAAAAGTAAAAATATATATCTCAAATATTTTTTTATTTGCAGTTCAGATTGATATTACGTTTCCGTAATCATATTGCATGATAAACGGTCTGTTGGCTTTAAAATGCGTTACTTGGAATGTGTGAATTTGCTAAATTGACTATGTGAATAAACAAATAAAGTGTAAAATTTACACATTAAAGTGTAAAATTTACACTTTAAAGTGTAAAATTTACACTTTAAAGTGTAAATTTTACACTTTAATGTGTAAATTTTACACTTTAAAGTGTAAAATTTACAGATTAAAGTGTAAAATTTACACTTTAATGTGTAAAATTTACAGATTAATGTGTAAAATTTACACTTTAAAGTGTAAAATTTACAGATTAAAGTGTAAAATGTACAGATTAAAGTGTAAAATTTACACTTTAATGTGTAAAATTTACAGATTAATGTGTAAAATTTACACTTTAAAATGTAAAATTTACAGATTAAAGTGTAAAATTTACAGATTAAAGTGTAAATTTTACAGATTAAAGTGTAAAATTTACACTTTAAAGTGTAAAATTTACACTTTAAAGTGTAAAATTTACAGATTAAAGTGTAAAATTTACAGATTAATGTGTAAAATTTACACTTAAAAGTTTAAAATTTACAGATTAAAGTGTAAAATTTACACTTTAAAGTGTAAAATTTACAGATTAATGTGTAAAATTTACACTTTAAAGTGTAGAAATTAAAAAAAAGTAAAGTGTCCAAGTGGCACTAATACGCTTCCGTACTTGAGGCATGGAAGTCCGTATTTTTCATTTTTTCAAATCAGGGATAGACCTATATTTTTGTATTCGTGCTCTAATTTTCGTTTTATACATGTACAAACCTTTCATCTCTATATCGTGTATAAGCTCTTTTCACTGATGTAGCATCCATTTTGAAATGGGGTGGGGGCAGCCAGAGAAATCAATTCACACACCCCCCCCCCAAAAAAAAGAAAAGAAAACTTTAAAAGCACCCCCCCCCCCCAAAAAAAGAAAAATGTCCAAACTCTAAAATTCTATTTCATGGGTGGGGGGGGGGGGGGGGGGTTAGGTTCCAATTTCTTTTTTTACTCAAACATACTACATTACCATTATTTGACTGTAGTGAAACCGGACTTCCAATGAATATTTTATATCTAGAAAAAGGGGGGATGCCCCCTTGCACCCCTGTTGCTATGTACCAGCTATTTGAAATTGTTTTAAACTGATAAATGAAATATATATATTTTATTATATATAATTTATGTTCTAGAAAAAAAAAGTGTAACTATTTGTTCTAAATTTTACAAACATTGATGTTCATAAACAACAATAGCATTTGACTCCTATGGACTTAATATGAAGTATGAAAGCCTGCTTACAATGATATAAAGAAAATTTGACACAATGAATAGAAAAGGCAATAATTTATTATCACATCACAGAATAAAAAACATGAGGTATATATGAAAATAATATGTAGTGTCATTCATAAAGAAGCACTGCTTTTTAAATCAGAATATCACATTGCTATCTGTGATTGCAAAAGATTAATGAATCCAATAGCAACAAATAATTTTAAGGGAAAATGAAACAAAAGTAAATGCATATTACTGTAGTTTTCAAAATGTGTTCAAAGATGTAGAAATATCCCAATTTGTAATACATGTAGTTTAAAAACAAGAGGCCCCTGGGCCACATCAATCACCTGAGCATAGGAAGAAAATAAGAAGAGAATGTGAAACATAAAAACAGGTAGACAGACAGATGGACAGCTAAATAGGTGCCAGGGGAAACTAGATAAATAAAACTAAAATCTTGGTACAAATGGTATAAGTAACATTAAAAATATTGGCAATAAAAAAAGTGTTAAGGTCTTCTTTACTAATCACTGGTAATTAAATCCAATTACTGGACATTTTGGGATTGATTTCTTTGGAAGTTATCTCTCTTATTAGAAGGTTGTTCCACCCTAAGCTTCTTGATCTTGTAAGTTATTATCAGACACTGTGATCTTTGTAACTTTTTTTTTGACAATGACAATGATTTTATTCTCATTAATGTACAATCATACATTGTACAGAGGAGGTAGAAAAGATACAAACAGATAGAAAAGAATATAAATCATGTATAATAAACAGTACAAAATATCATAAGATTCAAATCAATTATTTCCATCAATAATAGTTTGACAATCAACAAAAAATTACATAAAATTTTCAATACTAAACAGTTTTTTGTGTTGAAAGAAGTTGTTTAAATTTCTCTCTGTTTGGTGTGCATGTGAGATAGTGTGAGATATATCTTTACCTACCCTCTTTAATTACTTTTTGTGTGCATTCAAAAACCATAAAGAAATTCATCACCAATGTTAAATAAAATCACATAAAGTACAAATCCTTTGTTCTCTTGGGAGACCATTTCAACTACCATTTTCAATGTGGGGTTTAAAGTTGTTACATCTAAATTTACATAATAAAGTTGAAAATTTTTGAGGCATCTTAATAAAATGCCTTTCTGGTTCAAGAATTTCTCTATAAATTTGATAACCAACACCCTTGGATGAATTATTAACATTACTTTTCCAGTTTTGGATATGCTGGTCAAGAAGTATTTTTTTATTTCATTTTTAACCCACGCTACACAGTATAAATATCTCTGTATCAAAATTTATCTGAGTTTTCGTTATTATTTCAGGGTTTCTGTTTCCTGTTGGATGTGACGTTCTTGTTTTTGATGTTTTTGTTTTTTTGCTGTGGCGTGATCTGGCAAGGCTTCTGATTGGCTGTTGTACTGACGGGGATCTGGGAAGCAGCCCAAGCTCTCTCCTCCTCTTCAAACTCTACATCAAGCTTTGCATGTTCCCTTTTTACAAGATCTCTTAATTCGTCCTAAATAAATTATAATCTTACATTAAAAATAAGATAATGTATAATGTAATACTGTAAAAGCAAAAGATAAAGAAAAGATGTTAAAAGTATCAATACTTTACCAACCAATGAACACAACATTTTCAATCAAATTCTGTGGTAGATTGATGAAATAAATTAAATGTTTAAAAGATCATGTTAATAACCCCTAACTTACATTTCAGTGTTCATAATTGAAAGGGTTTTTGTATTATGAACAGCTAACTATCTTCCCTAACCAAGGGTTTCTGATCGACTTCTCTCCTTATAAATTGTCAGCGAGGAGAGGGGTGGATCAGAAACCCTGACTAGTTAACATGACCTGGACACTACTCACTCCCCATCCCAGAAGATCTGCCAGTCTGTAGCAGCCATCATCACATGCTGCTTCTACAAACACGTCTCTGAAAAACAACATTCTCTTTGCTCAGGCCATTGAGAACATACTGCAACATAGACGATATATTGTGTACAAGTACCTTTTTCTCAGAATAGCTATAGTTAATCATGGACATAGCATTGTTTTGAAGGGGTGGAGAAGAATAAAAGAAATGTGAAAAAAAAGAGCTAAAAAAATTCAGCAAGCCAAAAAAAAAACAACAATAATTAAGGGATTAGTTGGAAAAACCTGTTGTTTAGTGAGAGGTTCAACAAAAGTTGGGGGAAAGGAGGTCTTTCAATGAAAATTTTCACACTTATCAATAATTAGAACATAACCTACTTATTCAACCAATCAAATGCTTCCATTTCTCGCGAAGAATTGATTCTTCATGGTGAAGAATTCTTCTATTTCTGAAAAATTCAACGGTGTCTGATTGGTTCACTTGAAAGTTATATGGGTGTGTCTTTATTGGTCTTTGTTCAGCACACAAAAAGAAACTATTCAAAGCCCACGTGCTGTTTACAAAGATATTTAAACTCTCTACTAGGCCTTGATACACTTTTTCCCCACTGTAATCTTTTGTCGCCTTTTTTAATATTATTTTTTCACATTTTGGTACATACAGAAAATACAACCATCGTCATGTGTATCGGAGACAAACCTTGTCTTTCAAGACAGATTTAAGCACAATTTTCATCAATTTTTTATCTGATATTAGACAGCTATACCCATTCCTGCTTACTAGGGCCTTGTCATCTTAACACAATCAATTTTCAAAAATATAGATATTACGATTCTTGTTACATGGGTATTTTCCTTAGTTCAGTAGCTTTAACATCACCATACCATTTCCCCAGTAAATCCCGTGCTAAGCTGAATGGGTTGGGAGTTCATTCTGAAACCGTGTGTGTTTGATATTGGTTGCGTGCTCGATATGTACAACGAGCGGTCAAGTTGAGCCTTAAATATGACACAGCCGTGGGAGGAGTTTATTTTTAATCCATTGATTTGACTGGCTGAGGTTCTGTTCTAAGTCAGTAAGATCATATGAAGAGAAATCTTCGTCATGAAGAATGGGAGGAGCGAAGCGAAGCCCATTCTTCATGACGAAGATTTCTCTTCATATGATCTTTTACATAGGTAACAACTTTTCTTGGGAAAAAAAATGGCTTGGGAATTTGAGACTTTTCAACTAATTGGGAAAAAGTTGATGTGTCATTCTGAGAGTTTGCCCCTTGCCAGTAAATACCCCGTTATTTTACAAGATGTCTAAATCATCTATTTCTGGGGAAAGGATGATCATGTTAAATGGTATTTTAGGGGATTAATTTATTTACTGCTAAAAAATAGAGACAATCAACTCACCGATAATTATCCTCGTCATCAAACTTAAATCCTCCACCAAATACCAGAACACATAGGGGGTGATTCTGAAAACAAATCTCTAGATTGTATTGATATTAACAAGAGGCCCATGGGCCATATTGCTCACCTGAGAAACCTTGACCATTATGTTCTTTACCAGATTTCCCCATTTAATACCTACTGTGACCCCATCCTACCCCACGGGTCATAATTTGGACAATTTAAAATCTACACTATCCCAGGATGCTTCCACATTAGTTTCAGTTTTCCTGGCCCAGTGGTTCTTGAAAAGAAGATTTTCAAAGATTTTTCCTATATATTTCTATGTAAAACTTTGATTCCCTATTGTGGCCCCGCCCTACCCCCGGGGGACATGATTTGAACAATTTAGAATCTACACTACCCCAGGATGCTTCCACATAAGTTTCAGTTTTTCTGGCCCAGTGGTTCTTGAGAAGAAGATTTTCAAAGATTTTTCCAATATATTTCTATGTAAAAATTTGATTCCCTATTGTGGCCCCGCCCTGCCCCCGGGGTCATGAATTGAACAATTTAGAATCTACACTACCCAAGAATGCTTCCACATAAGTTTCAGTTTTTCTGGCCCAGTGGTTCTTGAGAAGAAGATTTTTTAATGACCCCACCCTATTTTTGTCTTTTCTTGATTATCTCCCCTTGTGAGGAGACTTGGCCCTTCATTTTAATAATTTAAATTTCCCTTTATCCAAGGATGCTTTGTACCAAGTTTGGTCAAAATTGGCCCAGTGGTTCTTCAGAAGTCGAAAATGTGAAAAGTTTACAGATGGATGGATGGACGACAGACAAAATGGGATCAGAAAAGCTCACTTGAGCCTTCTGCTCAGGTGAGCTAAAAATCAATACCTACAAACTGTTTCAAAGCCAGAAATTTATTTTGGAAAGGCCCATGTAGAGAAAATATGTTTTTAAAGGTCAGAGAACATTTCACAATACATGTATACATAATATATCTACATTTTATTTAAAATACACAAAGACATTGGAGGGGGGAGCTGATTGGGCAGGAGTTTGTGGGGGTGGGGTGGCTGTTTTGAACACAGCAGGTCAAGAGTGAAGTTCTAGAGAACTGGTTCTAGAGAATTAGTCGGACAGAAATGAAGTCCTCTACTTTTTTTTTACTCTTTCTGTCATCATGATTAATGACTTAAAGTCATAAAACCAGAAGTCTTTAATGAGACTGTAGCTATACTGACTTATACTTGTAACAATTAAGAAAGAAAAAAGCAGCGTCTGGACAATAAATAAATAAAAAAGCAATAAATAGAACTAGTGCTAATTGTAACGGGGACCGTAACAGATGTTCCCCAAACGCTCCTCAACTCCCATTCTGGTGTCATATTCCCTGTAAGCTTCATTAAATAAGACAAACTCTATGCATTTGAGACTTTAACAACGTTTACCCAGAAGTGTACCAAGTTCATTCAAATTTTAGAATTGCACGCGTGCGCATGTGAATGCATGTGTGTAATGACCATATCATTTTGTCTACACAATCTGAATATTTTAATATACTAAATATTAAAGTATATTATCCAAAAGTATTTAAAAATACGCTTATTCAAGTGTATTTTTTTATTTTGCTCATTTCACGTGCACGCACGTGCATGCATGAGCATGGTGACCATACTTTCTTGTAGAAGTCCATTACATCTATCTATGTTCTAAATCCCACCCCGTTTGGTTGAAAAGCAAGAGAGTTATAGCTGTTTAAATTTTCAGCCACTCAAATTGCAGCGCACGTACATGCACGTGTATGCATGTGCATGGTGATCATACCTTCTTGTAGTAGTCCATCATATCTATCTATGTTCTAAATCTCATCCTGTTTGATTGAAAACCAAGGGATTTATAACTATTTAAAGTTTAAGCCAATCAGATTGCAGCGCACGTGCATGCACGTGTTTTCATGATAATTGCTATATATTAAGTTGTAGGATATCCTAATGCATTGCTATGTTCAAAATTTCAAAGGATTTCGTCAAAAAACAAGAAAGATATTGAGACTTTAGTTTCAGCCAATCAGAGCGAAGCGCACGTGCATGCGCGTGAGATCTTGCTATTTAACCATGTCATATTGTCTATGCTACTAATATATCCTTGTATTATGAGTTTCAAAGCATTTTATCAAAAATGTAAAAAGTTTCGCCTATATCAATTAAATTGGTCATTTCACGTGTTGCACGTGCACGCTCTTGCAAGCACGTGCGCGCAAAATGACCTTCGTTCCGCAAATCTACATAACATGCCTACTGACCCTAAAAAGGTTTTACCTAAGTCGGATGTGTAGTTTACTAGATCACTCCCGGACAAAAAAGTACACAGGAAGAAGAAGAAGAAGAAAAATAATAATAACTAGAATCTTGTTGCCATGGCAACAAATAAGTCTTCCGTTCTTCTAAATCTGTAAGAATTTGCTTTTTTCTCTGCAAAACACATAGATATCATATGTACTCTGAAAGAAAAAAACTGCAAAAAGGTCTTTCAGTACTTAAGGTACTTTGATTTTCATGACCAATCTTGTTCTTATGCATTTTGGCACTCGTAAGAGCTACACGTGTATCATAGACAAACCAACGGACGAACGAACACCGTACTCTCATAAACTTCACCGTGTTTATGTTCTGGCACAATTGTGATGGTGTTATAAAAATGTCATGAACTAAGTTAGTACCACATTAAACGTAAAGTCGTTGATTTTTACAGTAATACTATCGAGATTTGTCAGCAGAAAGATTATTCAACTACAGGAATTATTCAGCAATCGATTAATTGATTATATGTTGTTTAATGTCCCTCTCGAGAATTTTTCACATGGAGAAGCCTCCACTCGCCGGTGGAGACTGCAAAATGTTGTCCTATAATTTGGCTCTAATCGCCATTGAGCATTGAGGAATCTTTTTGAGTCAGTACCATCTGATCTGACACACGGGACCTCGATTTAAACGATCTCATCTGACGGACCGGTCTCCGCGTCCCACAACTGAAGTCCATAATACAGATATATGATGCTCTAGCCATGTTTTTATTTTATTTTTTATTTCTCAAATTTGTTGCATCAGATTTTCTTAAAGATCATACTTAATAAAAATCATTTCGAACAACTTTATTGCAATGCATATAGCGTCCGGTGATTTTGATTGACAGGTCAATACATGTGCACTTAGTGTAATACTTCTTAAGAACCAATCCGCGAGAAAACCATGCAGAACTGTCCAAATCGAAGGTTGTCATATCTTAATGAAATTTGGTGGGTAGTTAGACTTTATAATATGTTATTAAAAAATGACCAAAAAAATTCCCATCATTCAACATGGCAGCCGTAGGCAGCGCCACCTCCTTTTTGCACATTTAAGTGCAAATGCACTTAAAAAATTCAAGAAAAATGGTAAAATTCACATTTGATTTATTTTACTCAAAATTAAACTTGCATTTCAATAAAGGTATATTTAAGTAACATAAGACTATGTTCTTTCAAAACTTACATTTATCATAATCAAATATGCAATATATCAAAGGGCAGACAACTCTTGAAAATTGGCATGATGCCAATTTTCAAGAATTGCCAAAAGTATTACAAATTTAATGCCCAAAATCTTCCAAGACCAATCTTTGAAATTAATTTATTTTATCTAATTGTACAAATATAACTCTAAATATTATCTTTGCAAAATATTGAGCTTGGGAAATAATAAATAATTGATATATGGGGATTTACAAATTGCCAATTTTCGAAAAAAACTGCTCAAACTCAAAGGGGTTACAAAGTCAAATATAGTACTTTAAATTAAAAAAAATGTTGTTAGATATTGAAACATGTAACAATTTTCTTTGAAATAATAATTAAGATTGAAAAATATTAAAATTAAATAAAACTAAATTGTCAGAAATTACCCCTATTATGAGGATTAGCATTTTGCCAATTGTTTAGAAATGAAAAAAAAGCATAATAAATTGTATTGGCTTACTTGCAATTTTTCAACAATCATATGAATATATATGTTCCTTACATTTTGTAAGTTAGTTTCTTTTAAATTAATAAAAGGGAAATTACAAGTATTCAAATTCAAACGGACTCCATTTCAGTATCATTCATATAAATTTTGAGACTTGAACATATAAAATTTGAGCCTTCAGTAAGTTGTTTGCTTTCTTCCAATTTTACGGATATCCGATCCTCAGCCAGGAAGGATAACTCCAAAAATCAATATTTAATTTGAAATGCATCAGAATGAAGCTTGAAAATAATTTTTTTTTCATGCAACAATCTTCATTTTATTCATCTTTATAAGATTCAAGGTTTTTGGAAGTCCTAGAAAAGGTCTTTTAAAAGTTGACATTTGTACCTTATAAAAGGAAAAAAAATATACAGTTTAAGAGAAATAAGATTTTCTTAAATCCAGGCTTAGATAGCAATGCTTATTAGCAGGATATGAAATACGAAGTGATTTTTAGTGTCTTGCAATGGTAGCAAAAGCCTTTTACACTAAATACTATAGAATATATGATGGAAATAGAAGATTGATTGATTGACTGTATACTGTTTAACGTACCTCTTCAGAATATTTCACTGATATGGAGACGTCACCATTGCCGGTGAAGGGCTGCAAATTTAGGCCTATGCTCGGCACTTACGGCCTTTGAGCAGGAAGGGATCTTTATCGTGCCACACCTGCTGTGACACGGGACCTCAGTTTATACGGTCTCATTCGAAGGACCGCCCCATTTAGTCGCCTTTTACGGCAAGCAAGAGGGTACTGAGGACCTATTCTAACCCGGATCCCCACGGGGCCGGAAATAGAAGACAAAAAATACCAAATAAATATAAAAATCATGACAATTTCTCTGAATGCCTGGATACCTATCGTTTTTAAAATATTTTTGTTAATCAATTTGCAATTAGAAAATGCATTGCAGATTTTCCAATTCGCTTTTTCTGCAAAAATATTGGAGATTTGACAATTTTCCCTATATAATATGGTTAACTTTAATCTTTCACTTTAAAGAAATACTGTGGACAAATTTACAT